GTTCATTTTTATACACAGTAAGAGTACCATGATCAGATTTATACAGTTTGTTAGAAAACAATGTCATTTTGTCACGTATTTGATCATTTTCACGTATCTTAGCAACAATTGTTGTATCCTTTGCCATTAACTTTTTTACCAATGATACATTCGTCAAAAAATGATTCATCGTTACGTTCCTACCAGAATTAATGAATGGTTCGATCAACTTCATAACAACGTACTCTTCAAATGGAACTTTATATTTTATTTCAGTGTATCTTCCTGAATAAGGAAAACCATTGACTATATATTTACTATTGACGTCACAAGCTAAATAAAATTGTATTAAAATTTTTTCAAGATTACAATTATTTTTATTATCCCACCAATACAATTGATTGTTAATGTTAATGCATTTGCCAGGTTTATAACAATTTTGTGAATTTTTAATAAAATAATTCCACATAGTCGATCGCATTATAAAATTATTGACAGTGTTAACTCTTTCATCTTTCATTTCAAATCTTAAATAATTGGATATTTCAGTGAACACAAATTTGTCCATAATATTTTGAAAACATCCTGATCCATTCTCTTTACCCCAAAAATATAAGAAATTGGTGTTATGTCCCATATAAGCACCACGTTTGTATAACAATCCAATAAATGCATCGAATTTAATCGTATCCAATTTCCACGTAGTACCCAATACCGATGATGCTTGTGCTTCTGTACATTTGATTATGTAATTTATTATACGTTCATCTATGATCAAAGAAAATGCTGTTTTAACTTGTCCCTTTTTAACATGACGTTTAGCATATTCAGTAGGACCTATTGTATCATTAAAAACATTTTCAATTGGTGTTTTAATTTCAGATTTTGAATTTTCATTCATTAATTCCCAAACAGTATCATCAGAATCAAAATCAAAAAGTTTCTCTTCTTCTTTTTCTTCTTTATCTTGTTTATCATTTTCTACGTTAGTTTCACTTTTCAAACTTTCACCTAATTCGTTGCTGCTTCCTCTTCGTAGTATTATGATTCCAGGAATTTTTTTAGTACTATACTTATTATCCCGAAATACTTCATCTTCTTCATGATCTTCACTTTCCTCTTCATCAGTATCCACACACAATTTTTTGATAACTTTATGTAAATTTGCAAGATCTTTAGAATTCTTTGACATATTTATGAGAAATTCTTCTTAAACAAAATTATTTTTACACTCAGATATATTTCTACCGTTGCTGATGCTGATGCTGATGCTGATGCTGCTGTTGATTTATTACTTTGTACTTATTATTTCAACAAATTTTAAAACACTTTTATAATACAAAAATATAATACGAATATTGAATATTTTCAAATTATTATATGTTAGGATGATTTCTCTTTATCTTTCTGTTTCTTTCTATTTGATTTAACAAAACTTTACTGTATATTGAAACATTACCTTTACTGTTTCATTAGGCCACATTAAAATAACCTTTCTTATTGATTGTTTTGATTTGTCGTGTTATTTCGAGCGATAATAAGAAGTAGGTCAGGTTATCTGTATTTCTCAGATAAGAAAAAAAGATAATATATCAACAAAACAAACTCAGATGTAAATAGAGACATTTATAAAACTCAAATCGGGGACGGTTAATCTTTACATGTGTTTCGTACGTTTTCGGATATTATCGTTTCTTTCCGATTGGCTGCAAAATCAACACGAATTCTTACCCAGAGAATGACGGATTTTCAAACTTTCTACAGGTAACAAATATACAGGAGGAGCTCATGTATGAATGTGAACGATTCAAAAACAGGTGAAAGGGGTACAGGATTATAAAATCCAGTTTATCAGTGATGCTCAAGACAACATCAGAAGCAGTCCATTTCTATTTTCAGCAAGAAAACACTGCATCCCATAAGATTCATGTAAGTGTTACAGCTATATTTCTGTGTTTAAGTCCTTATGGTATTTGTTCATTTATAACAGTCTTCAGAGACAGAGTTATTGGCTTAGTCAGAGTCAGAGTAAGAGACAAAGTCAGTCAGTCAGTAAGAGTCAAAGTCAGAGTCAGTCAGTAGGAGTCAAAGTCAGAGTCAGTCAGTTAGATTCAGAGTCAATCAGAATCAGAGTCAGAGTAAGACAGTCAAAGTCAGAGTCAGATTCAGTCAGCCCAAGTAAGAGTCTGTCAGTCAGAGTAAGAGTTAATCAAAGTCAGAGTCATATTCAGTCAATCCGAGTAAGAGTAAGAGTCAGTCAGTCAGATTCAGAGTCAGATTCAGTCAGTCTAAGTAAGAGTAAGAGTCTGTCAGTCAGAGTAAGAGTTAACCAAAGTCAGAGTCAGAGTAAGACAGTCAAAGTCAGAGTCAGATTCAGTCAATCCGAGTAAGAGTAAGTGTCTGTAAGTCAGATTCAGAGTCAATCAGAGTCAGTCAGTCAGCCCGAGTAAGAGTCCAAATCAGTCAGTCAGTCAAAGTCAGAGCTAGTAAGTCAGTCAGAGACA